TTAATAGTAAATCATACCTGTAGTACCCTGTGTACTTCTAGCTGAGGACTTCTTCTCAACGGGATACTGCAGAGGTATTACAATGCCTTGATCTGGCTTCTGAAATGCTGAAATGAGATTTTTTATTTTCCGGAAAAATCTTTTATGTACCCCAGGTGCTGTCTGGAAAATAAAAGGCCAAGCAAGTTATTTACCTATCTCATAATGATACGAAAAGGCCTACAAAATGTGCAAGAGATGCTTAGAGAGGTAACATTTGTGTAACTTGTTCAAATATTTGCAAACATAAGGCCGAAGGAAAAACAACATTCCAGAAGAGCTTACTTTGGTTGGCTAAATTTCCCAGCAAGAGGAGCTAATGAGCTGTCATTTCAGTTCTCCCAAGGGTGGTATTCGTTTGTACAAGCTCTTGCTCATCGCCCTGCCCTTCCTGCCTGCTACCCATCAGACAACCCAAACCTCTAAGGGTACACAGGCCATTAACCACAATGAATTCACCAACAGAGGGGATGCAGTTAAACACAGAAAAAACACAGATCCTACAGGTCATTAATAAAAACCCTGAGGAACCAAAAAAAAAAAAAAAAACCATCCTCCCCGTCATTCCACAATACAAAATGCTACACAGGAAATTAAAAATTGGCTGTTATGATACACACAATGCATGGCTAGTTAGTCCTCATACTCTTGTACCTCACAATATTTCCTGTCTCATCCTTCACATTCAAATTTTTCCTCCTTGGAAAGCTACCCTATTCTCCCCAAAATTCCTCTCGCTTCACCGTGACAAGGTTTTCTCTAGAACATGAAAATGAAAAACTATATAAAGTCACCTTTATTTATTTATTTGTGTGTTTTTAAAGAGATCATTATTTGCAGGTGACTATTAAAATGTGTTCTTTTCCTGACATCAGTTCTCTTGCAAAGACGCTGCCTGAAATCAACAACAATTTCTTGCAAAAGCTTATGAGCCAAGGTTTAGGCATCAGCCCAAAACTGTCATTTTACATAAAATAAAATAGTATTGCTATGAGCAATTGAACAATGACTAGTATTTTTTAGAAAGTTGTTTTTCAGCTATTCCATCTGGAAGATTTTTGAGGTGGGAGTTGTTTGTTTTTTAGCATTTAAAGAGAAAACATGAAGGCTGGTATGCAGACTTCTGTCAACTAGACAGTGTGCTGGAGATAACACATTGCCCATAGTAACTCTCAGTCATTTCCTATGCTGGGTTAAGTAATTGTTCATTGAAAAAAAAACACTGCAAAAGTTCTTGTTAGCTCTAAATTAGTGTCCACCCAAATGCTCACAGTAGATGTAGAACATTCTCTCACCCAGCTCCACCCCTATGGCTAAAACACTTTGCTAAAGCTCTATTGAGACCTCATCCAAAATAACATTCTTGCAGAAGTCCAAACAGTTTTTTGGCTCCAGGATAAAATCTCCAGATTGTAAAGGCAGGCAATAAGCACAAATTATCTCCTTATGCCTTCCTTAGAGTACTTTTTCATTTTCAAAGCACTTTCCCATCTTTTGCCCCCAATATTTCCTCAAAGATTAGCAATTTTTGGCTGATTTGGTTTTCCTAGATAAGAATATGTAAATGAAAAAAAAATTAATCTTGCCCAAGGTCACACAGACAACCAGAGGCAGAATTGGCTCCGGATCCCAAAACCCAGTCGCTTGCCTTTCAGATTAGGACTGAACCATATAGGTTTTAGTGAAGCGAGAGTCACCAACCAGAAGAGAAACTATACATTCCCCCAGTGCAGAAAGATTTCAAACTACACATCTTTGTAGTTGTTCTTGTAGCTTATATAACCATTTATCAACAAAAGCATCATTTTTTATGGGGACTGATATACAGTTAACACTTGATCATCCATGCTAACAGAGCAGAATAATAGCACTGGATATATAGAAACAGTTTGAATTTAGGATTCCATGTTTCATTAGCAAATGAGTGACCTAATTTATAGTACTTTGCTTAGGTTAATAAGTAAAATTATTTAGCATCTGCTGATCTCCTGATGATCAAATACCAGAAAATCCCATAAGCATTGAAGTCAGCAGGGGAAGTCAGTATATTTCTTACAGTGTAATGCCAGCAATACACATATCATAAGTGAAAGTTGACTGTATGGAGAATTCTCTGAATTCATGATTTAGCAAAATTTTAGCCTGATTCACACAAAATAAGTTAATACACTAGGCAATGATCTAATCTAAAAGTCTAACTAAAACTAGAAGGACCCATTATACTTGTCTTTCATAATTCAGTGGGTCCAGGGTTCAATTTCATTCCACTTTTTGAAATGGATCTCAGACTTACCTAGATTTCTAGCACAGTCTTTGCACAGAGGATGGTGTGCTACCACCTTGATTTTTCCTGAAGCATGGCAAACTAAAACACTGTTCCAAAAAGCAGTGTAAATACTTATCATTTACCCAATTTTGAAAATACATTTACCACAAGAATTTTATCACTGACAACTCCCATCCTGTCGCTGAACTCAGCTATTGTTCAGATTTGCACATTTCCCATACTGTCACCTCTTAGTTATCCATGGAAACGTTTTAGATCACAGCTGGTCTTCAATATGCTCTAAAGAAATTTCTCCCAGTCAGGTGATGTAAGCTCTGAGATACACACTAATTTAATATTCACCTTAACAAAGCATAACTAAGAAGGTAAATTTAGTAGATAAAAACAATGCAATATGCATTTTAAAAATTAAGGAATTATTGAACTGTTTTCTATTTGGGGATAATCCATTCCAATCTTCTGCTCTCTTGGTGCAGATAATTACAATATTATCACATAAATGAGATCAGATCAGATGACAGGATGAGGGGACATCTATGTTCAATAAGCACCCCCCTCCTTAACATGACCACAAGCATGTAACAATCTGCATATGATGTTATACTTGAAACAGAGAAAAGCAAGTTGAAAAACAAGGTTGCTAAACCCTAAGAATTTAAGATTCTTTTCATAAAGAATATTTTTCAGCAGCTGAAGGGTACTTCTCTACGGAGAATGACTATTTCTGGTAAAATCATACACAGATATGTATGTGTGTATATGCATAATACACACAACATTCTTCATAATAAATTGTTTAATTTCTTATTCAATCATCTCTGTGGTGATAAAGAAAATTTTTAAAATAAACAGGTACAAATAGTTTTGATTAGAAATGGAACTGCTTTTCCTTTAGGTAGTGTTACAGTTTTAATTATCCTGATATAAAGTAACAATGTGCTTGAAAACTTGCCCTAATTCACCTTAGTACTTCGAAACGTTTGTAGTCTGTAATTTGTACTTTCCGGTTTACTGAATTAGTAAAGTTTAGAGCTATTTTCATTTTTTAAATCTAGACTTTAGAGTTTCTTAAATGTATAGATTAGGCCAGGCGTGGTGGCTCACGCCTGTAATCCTAGCACTCTGGGAGGCTGAGCTGGGAGGATCGTTTGAGCTCAGGAGTTCAAGACCAGCCTGAGCAAAAGCGAGACCCCATTTCTACTAAAATTAGGAAAAAATTAGCAAGGCATGGTGGCACACGCCTGTAGTCCCAGTTACTCGGGAGGCTGAGGCAGGAGGATCGCTTGAGCCCAGGAGTCTGAGGTTGCTGTGAGCTAGGCTGACGCCACGGCACTCTAGCCGGGGCAACAGAGTGAGACTCTGTCTCAAAAAAAAAAACAACATAAGCTGATGTTGAAACATTCTTAACAGAGTTGAAAGCTGCTTCTCACATTTTTAATTCTCTATCCATTCTACCCCAAAGAATATCTTAAATCTAGCCCCTTATTTATAGCAGAGGACTTAATCAGAGGCATTCTATGTAGACTTATTCTACCTGTGCACTTCCACAAAGGTTCCCTGACTTTACATAAGCTTGTCTCCCTACACTGACCTTATCTCTTAAGAACAAATTTCAGAGAAAATGAACAAGTATTTGATAAGCTATCATGTTCCTTGTGGGTTTGCTGACAGTTGTTTTTTCTGGAATAGTTCATGCTTCAACATATATAGTACATTTTTCTACCTTGACTCAGCATCTTACAGGTATATGTTAAGCATGGCCATATTTTAGATATGGCAAGGATATGGCCTTTCTGTAAAGGTGCAAGCAATTACATACTGGGAAATAGCAAGGATGCTCATGTTGGGAAAGAAAAAGTAAAAAAAAAAAAAAAAAAGAACTTGATGAATAAAAGGCCAACCAAAGAAGACAGAGGGTAGGCCCATCAACCAGGAATGTTGACAGCAGCAAAATCAGAAAAGCACTTACCTTTTCCAGGAAATTAGTCCAATAAGTAAGCCCTCATCAATGCTTTATTGGGTTTATAAATAGCATCTGTGTCTGACTATTTTTAAAAGGAATATTTCAAGACAAATCAGGTAAATAAAGCTTTCAAACACTTTATTTAAATGTGAAAGACCATGAATGATTCAAAAAAGCTTTCTTCAAAAAAGTCTCTTGTAAAGGAACATGGAAACACAATTCACATGTTTAGGATTATTCCAGAATGAACACATTAGAGAGAGTAAAAATTAGTTATACCTATTAAAATTTGAACTCAAGCTACACATAATTAAAAATTATTTAAACATAGGCATTTAATTTTGACAGTAGGTATTCTGAATTCCTTTACAAGTCAAAGTGATGCTCTTACTTCAAGAAATGGTAAACCACCCACAATGCATTACTGGGGCCATACTCCATCTTTATACTCCCGAAACATCCATGTTAAATGCTCAGAAATCAGATCTTGCCAGCACATGGAGAATAGCTCTGTCTCTTGGCAGTTCACTGACTACTAACCAAGCTCACCAACACTCATGTACGACCCAGAATTCCAATTTATTAGCTTATAATGAAGCTTAGCCTTTTCCTATGGACCATGGACCAGAGTATTTGTGTTGATTCATTCTGCCTCAAAAGACAGATCTACCTACACATGGGGAACACCACATATGTACTGATCAACTTCCATTATTGTTTTCTTGTCCAACTAGAGGTGAGCTACCTGAGGGCAGGGACCAGGTATTTTTACTTCTCTACCCCCAGTGCCCTGTTATGCTTGTTGAGTGAATGAATTCTGTGAGCTCTGAAGCAATGTGACATATAATCAATCACAAAAGTCATGAAAATATAAATGTAAGAAGGAAATACTGCATAAAAATCTGACTCTAGCTTGTTTCAATCACTTGGAATTGTTAAAAATTAATGTAACCATAAGCTTTCAAATGGTCTTGTAGGGTTACCCAAAGGGGAGGATGTTTACAAATCAGTTATTCATGAGCTGCAGCTGTGAAGTTTCCCTTCAAAATGAGGTTTTACATGCAATAGAAACAACTGGGGCAGAGGTAAGCGGAAAAAAGAAAAATCTACTCCATTGTCTTTCTAATAGAATTTCAAACACTGTAGCATCAAATATGGTAAACATCTAGGGTATATTTTAAATGATGGGATTTTAAACTCCAGATTGGTTTGTGGATTATTGTCCAATATAAGAACACTTGGCAAGAACCTTGCTTTCTTCACTCTTTATCTAGTACTTGTTTTAGCACATAGTACACAGGTTCATAAATTCCAAAAGAGCCATAACTAGTGGAGAACTGCATGTGACAAAGACGAGTGACACCAACCAACTTCCCACCATATAATTAAGCAAGACATTTGAAAATCAGTAACTACCAAATAATATTCCGGTAAAAATATAGCTTTTGACAAAAACTGAGGATTATTTTTATTCATGTGTGGCAAGAATTGACATTAATCTTTTATAAAGTATTCATTATGCTTTGAATTGTTTCCCATTTGTAAATATAACAACTGAAAATAACCTTTGGAATTACTTTTTTTCCAATCCTCATTTCAAAGCTCCTCATTATCTACAAAGTCCATTTCAGCTTTGACATCAGGCTAGATGCTTCCATTATAGGACTATGATGGTTTTAGAAATGCATTTGTAGCTCACTGACTGTATTATCTACACTATACAAAACTTAGCATATATTTAAATTATTGAAAATAAAATACAAGGTGTTTTATTTTTCTTCATGGTGCTTTCAGGCAGGCATCAGGATCTTCTCTTATCCCTAAAGAAAAATAATAACAAAAACCAAGAAAAGATAAACTTACAAACTATTAAAATTAAAGATTAACTCAAACATAAAATTTCCAACTGCATAAAACTCACAATGATATACCTAAAGCAACTATTACTTAAAACTGAGTTATGAAGAATAGAATACTGGGCAGAAAAGAACAATTAGCCAATTTGTAAATTAGAGCTCTATTTACATTTCTATTATACAGGCTAACTATTCATTAATTTAATTCTCCACTTGAGACTAATTGTCAGTTTATGCTTGAGTCTGGGTCCCTGTCGAAAAAATATGTAACAACTCATTTTCTTTTATCGTAAATATTTATTGTTTCAATCAAAGCCTGTCCTCTTACTCCAAAGAAATGATAAACCCCTTTCAATAGAGGAGTAAACTGTCACATATCAGATAGCTACAGACATTGGTTGGTATTCAGTCTTTAGCATGACACATACACTAAAATAGCTTTGCTCAGAAGAGGTAATAATTTGTGCCAATGAATAATAAAGTCTTATAATTTAATTTCCTTCGCTACAGCAAAATTTCATTAATTCAGGCACCACCAGTTTTGAAATCAGAATCACATGGGCCAGGCTAATGTTAGCCTTTACATCCGTGAAGGCAAAAAAGTTTACTAAGCAGAGGTAAAAGACAGTCTACATGTTCTCTGAATTATACCATCCTTCTAATTATTAATATTTGTGCCTGGATTAGTGAAATGGCATTTAGGTATCTATAAAAGGGACTGGAGAGAACAAGATGAGACAGACAACAGGGATTAAAGCGTTATGGCACCATCAAATTAGTATTAACTGATCAACACATAAGTGCACATATAAGAATAACATTCATTGGATGTCGGGCGGGGGGAGGGGGAGGAGGGGACGGGTATTTGCATACACAAGGAGTGTGATGCGTACCATCCAGGGGATGGACATGCTTGAAGCTCAGACTTGGGGGGGAGGGAGGGCAAGGGTAACATACATAACCTAAACATCTGTACCCCCATAATATGCTGAAATAAAAAAAAAGCATTATGGGCTTATAGAATTCTTGATATTTTTGCAGTTTTATTAAAAGTTTATAGTATAGCAGATTGAAATTATAGCATGTAGTTACCTCTCACTAGATTTGCTGGCTACATCTACTTTCTCATTGCATTTTTCTTACAGAGCTTCCAATTGATTATATGGTTATGAATAGGTTGACTCATAACTCTGAGCTTCTAAAACCTGTCAAAAATTAATAGTAAATCATACCTGTAGTACCCTGTGTACTTCTAGCTGAGGACTTCTTCTCAACGGGATACTGCAGAGGTATTACAATGCCTTGATCTGGCTTCTGAAATGCTGAAATGAGATTTTTTATTTTCCGGAAAAATCTTTTATGTACCCCAGGTGCTGTCTGGAAAATAAAAGGCCAAGCAAGTTATTTACCTATCTCATAATGATACGAAAAGGCCTACAAAATGTGCAAGAGATGCTTAGAGAGGTAACATTTGTGTAACTTGTTCAAATATTTGCAAACATAAGGCCGAAGGAAAAACAACATTCCAGAAGAGCTTACTTTGGTTGGCTAAATTTCCCAGCAAGAGGAGCTAATGAGCTGTCATTTCAGTTCTCCCAAGGGTGGTATTCGTTTGTACAAGCTCTTGCTCATCGCCCTGCCCTTCCTGCCTGCTACCCATCAGACAACCCAAACCTCTAAGGGTACACAGGCCATTAACCACAATGAATTCACCAACAGAGGGGATGCAGTTAAACACAGAAAAAACACAGATCCTACAGGTCATTAATAAAAACCCTGAGGAACCAAAAAAAAAAAAAAAAACCATCCTCCCCGTCATTCCACAATACAAAATGCTACACAGGAAATTAAAAATTGGCTGTTATGATACACACAATGCATGGCTAGTTAGTCCTCATACTCTTGTACCTCACAATATTTCCTGTCTCATCCTTCACATTCAAATTTTTCCTCCTTGGAAAGCTACCCTATTCTCCCCAAAATTCCTCTCGCTTCACCGTGACAAGGTTTTCTCTAGAACATGAAAATGAAAAACTATATAAAGTCACCTTTATTTATTTATTTGTGTGTTTTTAAAGAGATCATTATTTGCAGGTGACTATTAAAATGTGTTCTTTTCCTGACATCAGTTCTCTTGCAAAGACGCTGCCTGAAATCAACAACAATTTCTTGCAAAAGCTTATGAGCCAAGGTTTAGGCATCAGCCCAAAACTGTCATTTTACATAAAATAAAATAGTATTGCTATGAGCAATTGAACAATGACTAGTATTTTTTAGAAAGTTGTTTTTCAGCTATTCCATCTGGAAGATTTTTGAGGTGGGAGTTGTTTGTTTTTTAGCATTTAAAGAGAAAACATGAAGGCTGGTATGCAGACTTCTGTCAACTAGACAGTGTGCTGGAGATAACACATTGCCCATAGTAACTCTCAGTCATTTCCTATGCTGGGTTAAGTAATTGTTCATTGAAAAAAAAACACTGCAAAAGTTCTTGTTAGCTCTAAATTAGTGTCCACCCAAATGCTCACAGTAGATGTAGAACATTCTCTCACCCAGCTCCACCCCTATGGCTAAAACACTTTGCTAAAGCTCTATTGAGACCTCATCCAAAATAACATTCTTGCAGAAGTCCAAACAGTTTTTTGGCTCCAGGATAAAATCTCCAGATTGTAAAGGCAGGCAATAAGCACAAATTATCTCCTTATGCCTTCCTTAGAGTACTTTTTCATTTTCAAAGCACTTTCCCATCTTTTGCCCCCAATATTTCCTCAAAGATTAGCAATTTTTGGCTGATTTGGTTTTCCTAGATAAGAATATGTAAATGAAAAAAAAATTAATCTTGCCCAAGGTCACACAGACAACCAGAGGCAGAATTGGCTCCGGATCCCAAAACCCAGTCGCTTGCCTTTCAGATTAGGACTGAACCATATAGGTTTTAGTGAAGCGAGAGTCACCAACCAGAAGAGAAACTATACATTCCCCCAGTGCAGAAAGATTTCAAACTACACATCTTTGTAGTTGTTCTTGTAGCTTATATAACCATTTATCAACAAAAGCATCATTTTTTATGGGGACTGATATACAGTTAACACTTGATCATCCATGCTAACAGAGCAGAATAATAGCACTGGATATATAGAAACAGTTTGAATTTAGGATTCCATGTTTCATTAGCAAATGAGTGACCTAATTTATAGTACTTTGCTTAGGTTAATAAGTAAAATTATTTAGCATCTGCTGATCTCCTGATGATCAAATACCAGAAAATCCCATAAGCATTGAAGTCAGCAGGGGAAGTCAGTATATTTCTTACAGTGTAATGCCAGCAATACACATATCATAAGTGAAAGTTGACTGTATGGAGAATTCTCTGAATTCATGATTTAGCAAAATTTTAGCCTGATTCACACAAAATAAGTTAATACACTAGGCAATGATCTAATCTAAAAGTCTAACTAAAACTAGAAGGACCCATTATACTTGTCTTTCATAATTCAGTGGGTCCAGGGTTCAATTTCATTCCACTTTTTGAAATGGATCTCAGACTTACCTAGATTTCTAGCACAGTCTTTGCACAGAGGATGGTGTGCTACCACCTTGATTTTTCCTGAAGCATGGCAAACTAAAACACTGTTCCAAAAAGCAGTGTAAATACTTATCATTTACCCAATTTTGAAAATACATTTACCACAAGAATTTTATCACTGACAACTCCCATCCTGTCGCTGAACTCAGCTATTGTTCAGATTTGCACATTTCCCATACTGTCACCTCTTAGTTATCCATGGAAACGTTTTAGATCACAGCTGGTCTTCAATATGCTCTAAAGAAATTTCTCCCAGTCAGGTGATGTAAGCTCTGAGATACACACTAATTTAATATTCACCTTAACAAAGCATAACTAAGAAGGTAAATTTAGTAGATAAAAACAATGCAATATGCATTTTAAAAATTAAGGAATTATTGAACTGTTTTCTATTTGGGGATAATCCATTCCAATCTTCTGCTCTCTTGGTGCAGATAATTACAATATTATCACATAAATGAGATCAGATCAGATGACAGGATGAGGGGACATCTATGTTCAATAAGCACCCCCCTCCTTAACATGACCACAAGCATGTAACAATCTGCATATGATGTTATACTTGAAACAGAGAAAAGCAAGTTGAAAAACAAGGTTGCTAAACCCTAAGAATTTAAGATTCTTTTCATAAAGAATATTTTTCAGCAGCTGAAGGGTACTTCTCTACGGAGAATGACTATTTCTGGTAAAATCATACACAGATATGTATGTGTGTATATGCATAATACACACAACATTCTTCATAATAAATTGTTTAATTTCTTATTCAATCATCTCTGTGGTGATAAAGAAAATTTTTAAAATAAACAGGTACAAATAGTTTTGATTAGAAATGGAACTGCTTTTCCTTTAGGTAGTGTTACAGTTTTAATTATCCTGATATAAAGTAACAATGTGCTTGAAAACTTGCCCTAATTCACCTTAGTACTTCGAAACGTTTGTAGTCTGTAATTTGTACTTTCCGGTTTACTGAATTAGTAAAGTTTAGAGCTATTTTCATTTTTTAAATCTAGACTTTAGAGTTTCTTAAATGTATAGATTAGGCCAGGCGTGGTGGCTCACGCCTGTAATCCTAGCACTCTGGGAGGCTGAGCTGGGAGGATCGTTTGAGCTCAGGAGTTCAAGACCAGCCTGAGCAAAAGCGAGACCCCATTTCTACTAAAATTAGGAAAAAATTAGCAAGGCATGGTGGCACACGCCTGTAGTCCCAGTTACTCGGGAGGCTGAGGCAGGAGGATCACTTGAGCCCAGGAGTTCGAGGTTGCTGTGAGCTAAGCTGATGTCATGGCACTCGCCTGCGTAACAGAGTGAGACTCTGGCTCAAAAAAAAAAAAAAAAGAAAGAAAGAAAGAAAGAAAGAAACATTT